GTCAAAACTCAACAGTAAAATAGTAAACAGTCTCAGGGGACACAGGTGGCGTGGTGGTTAAAGGCGCTAAACTCACATGGCCGACTGCGGTTCAGGTTCCAGACCTAGTGGATTGCTTTCTCACTTTCTCTCTCTCTCTCTCTCTCTCTCTCTCTCTGTCTCTCTCTGATCAAACTGGGAAGTAATTATACTACTACTAATAATAAATAAAGTTAAATGAATAAATAAATAGCCCCATTAGAATCTGGACAAAAGACATGAAAAGACGTTTCACTGAAGATACAGGTGGCCAGGAAACACATGGAAAGATGTTCAACATCATTAGCCAGTAGAGAAATGCAAATTAAAGCCACAGTCAGCTATCACTATACGGCTATCAGAATAGCTAAATTAAAAAGAGCAGCAGCACCCAAGGGTGATGAGGATACAGAGACACAGGGTCATTTATACACTACTGGTAAGAATGTAACATGGTATGGCTACTGAAAACCATTCAGCTGTTCCTAAAAAGCTAAAACATGCACCCGCCATACAACTCAGAAATTGTATTCCTGGGTATTAGAAATGAAAACTCGTGTTCACACAAAAACCTGTATACAAATGTTCATAGCAGCTTTGACCAAATAGCCAAACAATCAGAAATAACCCAGGTGCCCTTCAACAAGTGAACAGCTAACCAAACTATGATACATCAATAATAACGTGTATACTACTCAGCAGTAAAAAGGAATAAACTCTTGCTATGTGGCAAGAGCCTAGATAAGTCTCCAGAGAAGCATGGTGAGTAAAACATGCTAATCCTCAAAGGTTACATACTCTGTGATTCCATTTATGCAACATTCTTTTCTTTCTTTCTTTCTTTTTTAGAGAGATTTTTGCTTTAAGGGCACATGCGCTCGCCAGAAAGACAGAGAGACAGAAAGCGAGAAATCACTCCCCAGGGGGCATGGCCACGCCGCAATCCCTTCTCTTCCATTCTCCTCTTGGGATCTTGGGCACACACACACACACATGCCCGGCGTGAGTTTAAGTCACCAGGTCCAGGACTTGAACCGCGATCGACTACGTGGAGTCCAATGACATAGCCATTACCTTAACTGCTAGTCCCCAACATTCTTGAAATGACAAAATTTTGAAATTCAAAAAGAGATTAGGTGTCCGGATTCAGGAGGGCAATGAATACAAAGGCTAACGTGAGAGACCTTGGGGTGATGGAAATTACTATAACAATGTCAGTATTCCAGTTGTGGTACTGGACTACAGTTCTGCAAGATACAACCATGGAAAAAAACAGGTAAAGATACCTGGGTAAATGATACTCTATATCATTTCTTAAAACTGTGTAGGAATCTATATGGCCTCAAAATATGAAGTTTAACTTTAAGATCTCTTTTTAAAAGTGTAAAAAGTAAAACAGACTAAACATGAAAGTGATTTTCCAATTCTAAAATGTAAAGCGTAAGGAACAACTCCTATGATACATACATATGACATATTGCTATGATCTGAACCTTTGTGTTCCCCAGAATTCATATATGGAGACCTAACCCCCATGTGATAGTCTGAAGCAGTGGGGCCTTTGGAGATTAAGTGAAGCAGGCAGAATGCTCACAAATGCAACTGGGGCCCTTATGAAGTTGGGCTGAGGAAGCCTGTCTGCTTCCTCTGCCACCCGAGGATGCATGAAGGTGCCATTGACCAGGAATGGGCCATCACCAGACCTAATTTGCTGGTGCCTTGATCCTGGACTTCCAAGTCTCTAGAACTGTTAGAAATAAACAACTTCTATTTATAAATGACCTAGTACAAAGTATTTTACTAAAGAAGCCCAAACAGACTAAGACAATAAAATTGTGACGTTTGTAAATTCCATTATTACAAGCTAATGTGTGTGGGGGGGGAGAGTATACATACATATCTAAGAGTTTGGCTAAATTCATAGATCAGCAAACCATGACAGGTCTTATTTGTTTGTTTGTTTGTTTGAGAGAGTTCTTGTGTTTTTTTTGTTTTTTGTTTATTTGTTTGTTTTTTGCTATAGGGCACATGTGCTTTCTGGGGAGAGATAGAAAGTAAGAAATTACCCTCCTGGGGAGGTTGGGGAGGGGATGGCCACATTGCAATCTCCTCTTGGGATTTGGGGCATGCACACAGCTGCACCTTTAAGCCACCAGGTCTGGGACACAAAGCAGTTGACTTCATGGGAGTCCAGCGACAGAACCATTATGCTATCTGCTGGCCCCATGACAGGCCTTTAGAAAACCAGGATTGCTTAGGACCCATCTCTAGCCTCAGAGACTGCCAGAGTAGAGCACAGTCCTAAAAAGAGCCGGAATTAAACCTAGAAAACCCATTGTTTTGAGTCTATGAATTACTCTTTTTTTTTTTTTTTTTTGGTGCCTTAATGATCGGTGTCAACAGTTCCCCCAGTTCTAAGGAAGTCACATCTTCCTGGTGTCCAAGAGAACTGTTGGCTGGTGCACCGACCTCTGTACATGCACCCTCATTTAGACCACTAACAGATAGCTTTCTAGTCAGAGCAGAGACACTCAAGTCGAATGCCAATTGAAAGAACAACCCTACTTCCATTCCTCTCATTTTTCAGTTAGAAAGCCAAGGCTTTCAGTGGTCCCACTGCTTGCCTAGACCTCTTTGAACCCTGTCACATAACAAGCACAAGACTTTTCACAGGGAAGCTTGGTAAAATTATCTCAGTTGACCCCTTTTAATACAACCACAAGTAGTGAATGCAAACATTTTGTTGAGTTGGGATTAGCCTTATGGTAGCAGGAAAATTAACACAGCAGTCTGTTCTACGTTTACTGTCTACCACACCATGGCCAGGAAATTCTATAGAAGGCCACAGCTGTCTCCCAGCATGTCACTTCAAAAGACTGGAAAATATCAGTTCAGAGGGAGTCCAAATCAGCTATTTTAAAGGCTCCAAGTAAGTACCTCAAAGGTCCTAGGGAAACCAGATCTTCCTCTTCATACTCTTCTAATCTACAGTCACCTGGGGACTTTGTCCAACATCCAGGAACCAGATGTTGGACATAAAGTGCCACCCGCAATCTTGGACTTCAGTCTCTAACCTAAACCTGGCCTCAAGACCTTACAACCAGACTCCTCCCACCACACTGCCCTACTATACGAGACCAAGGCTCTGTCTCTTCTGGACAGCTTATCTCCACATATCATTATTTTCACTTGGCAGAAAAAGTATCAGTAGTTCACACTATCATGGAAGACCTTTCCAGCTAGATACCAGTTTGGCCATCTGCCTATGGTTCCCCTCTCCTGTCCCACAACCCAAAGGACTACAGGGTTGTTAGTTGGTTCAAGCACCAATCTGAGAGATGGGCTCCATTCCCAACTTGAAATCCAAACTTCTTTCCCAATCCTGAGACTCTCACTCCTCAGAGGCAGCCTGGAGGTCTTCCCGCCAGAGAGAAAGATGACCAGCCCAATCTCAGAGGGGCCACCAGCTGGCTTCTTTGCCGTCTTATGTCCCTCCAGCTCAGGTGCCCTTAGTGTGCAGATAAGCCTGCTGTTACTAGGCAGGCTTAGTAACCAAACCAAGATCGAGCAAGGAGCTGCTGCACTCGGTGCAATTAGCTAGAGTCCCCACTCAGGGGGAGGTTCTTTCCCAACCTGCCACTGGCATCTTTCATAGTAGTGTGGGTTTTTTGCTTAGGGTCCATTGGAATCAGATTCTGAGACAAGAGCTTAAATGGAAGTAGTCTGTTTGAGAATTAAGTCCAGGAAACACTGGTAGGAGGTTCAGAAAGTGAAACTAGGCAGAGAACAAAGCTAATAAAGTACATTGTCAAGTCTATTACCACTTTGGGCAATGAGGGCTCAGTCCCAGGAGGGAAATTTGGGAGACAGTATAGAACAAACCTCATAGTTATCCAAACCACAAGACAAGAAATCTGGGGCACTTATTCAACAGCTCTCCATCTGTCGTTGGTTACAGGTTGCTTCTAGAGCCACGAATGCTCTAACACTTCCAGCCTGATCTGCATGCAGACAGGGCCTGAAAAATGTTGCAGAGTCCTCAGGCAGAGCACCTTGTGTTCATCCCTGAATGACAAGGGAGGTGAGCACCAAGAGGGCCTGCTACACAGAGTGACTCCCCCTAGCCTGCTCACTAGTTTCTGAGAACCACGTTTAAATGTCAGGAGCGTGGCAGGTAACAAACCTTGACACACCAAAGTCTCCATATGCAGTAGGCAAAATCTAAGCTTTCTTTTTGCCTTGTTAACAGCCAAAATTTTGAGGGGCAGCTTATATAGACAAGAACCTCAACTTTTAAACAACCACTAATGATTCTCCTTTTCCCAACCTCCACAATTTCTTCTGCTTCACTATGATAGTCCCCACATTAAAAATAAAATAAATAAATAAATAAATTTTAAAAAAGAACAAGAAAACAAAGGCTCTGAAGAATAAACTGTGATTTTTATTTGGCATCATAGAATGACAAAGACAAAATTCTGAAAGAAAAATCAGTTTGCGCTTTCTGATAAATCATTCCAGAAATTTCCATAATGACATCTTATATTTTCATTTTGCAGGGGGAGGTGTCTTGAGGTTTAAATAAGTTTTTAATCAGATTCATACTGTAGTACCACAGGAAGAATGCCTAGTTTTCTTGAGCCAAAAATGTTCATTAAACAATCATTTCATTGAGTACCTTTTATGATGTTTACATTGGAGATGCAAAGATGAATAAAGCAATACCTACATAGAAGACCATAATCTGTATAGTATTCATAATAACTATGCCCCATAGGTAATTTTCCTATAAAGAGAGAAGAAGGGAAATGGAAAGCCTGATTGGGGAAAGCCTTTCCAAGTATTTTGGGCAGAGCAGAGAAGGCAGATGTTCTAGTGTAAAAAATGTATTGCAGGCAAGAGAAAAGCCAAAAACAAATTTAGGAGAAAATAGGGCATAACCACATAAAATAATATTATATATAATGACATGTTAGACTCACTGGATCTGGAGCCACAGGAAGGAGCTATCTGACCAGATGGGCAAGTGCACATATTTGGCCTCGAACAAAATCCA